GCTAGAGACCCCTATACTTTACTGTAACAGCTACAGTACATATTGTTTATTGTGTACTCAGTCAGGAACTGTGGCTTCACATTCGCACTTTCTAATCTGCACAACAATCCTAGGATAGAAATTAATGTTTTTATAATAAAAGAAAAATCCTGTATGCATAAAAGAGCTAACATGGACCTGAGACTGCTATTTTTTCAAAGGTCCTTACAAATTTGGCCCTTGGCTGGGACCTGGAAACTTGGATTTCAGGAAGTTTCTACCATTCCCTAATAAGAATGGCTCACTCTGTCTAAATAGTATCATTTATGCTGAATGCCTGCTTTCCTTCTTGAAGTTTGAAATTCTGGTACATGCAAGCAGAGAATGCCTACATGACCATCCTCCGATAAAGACCCTGGTCATTGTGTCTCCAGTGAGCTTCCCTGATAGACAACACTTCAATATATTGTCACAATTCATTGCAACAGAAATTAAGAATGTTCTATGTGACTCTATAAGGAGAGAACTTTTGGAAGTTTGCAACTGTTTTCCTCTAGATTTTGCCCCATGGGCCTTTTCCTTTTGTGATTTTGGTTTTATCTTTTCATCACTATAATAAATCATAGTCATGACTATAGCTATATACTGAGAACTGTGAGCCTTCCTAGCAAATCATAAAACCTGGGCTTGGTCTTGGGCATCCCCAATACACAACTCAGAAATGTTATGTAATTATAAGATAATCAAAGCCTGTTTATAAAAACATACTAAATAAAATCAGTTATCTTAAAATATTTTAGAAATCCACATCCCAATTCAATTTGTTGCTAAAAATTTATAAAAAATAATTTAATTTAGCCCTAGCTGGTGTAGTTCAGTGGATTCAGCACGAGCTGCAAACCAAAGGGTTGCCGGTTAGATTCCCAGTCAGGGCATATACCTGGGTTGCAGACCAGGTCCTCAGTGGGGGCAATGCGAGAGGCAACCACACCCTGATGTTTCTCTCCCTCTCTTTCTCCCTCCCTTCCCCTCTCTCTAAAAATTAATAAATCTTTGAAAAAATTTAAAGCATTCCAAGCTCAAAGAGATCACTCTAAGAAGTATGATTTTCACTTATAATTAACAGAAGCTAACATATATCATTTATTATGTACTACACTAAGTGCATTTATATGCATACCTTATTTAATCCTCAAAACAGGATTATAAAGTAAAGCTGTAATCATCTCTATTTTACAGATAAGAAAAATAAAGCTGGAGGAACTCAAAAAAACTTGTCATGACTCCACAGCATGTATTCAAATTCCTATCAATCTGACTCCAAAGTATGTGGTTTTAATTACAATGTTTATAATATTCCCTCCCATGTAAAAGAGTAAACAACACAAAACATACCTCAAACTACTACTTCTAACTCACTTTTTAAACTACTATTCTCCATAACTGCCCATCCTTTATATTGCAGAGTTGCCTGTAATACAGGCAGCCCAAATCATTCCTTATTAGATAAAATATGAATCATTAAAAAAAAAGCAAATTTTCAGGAAATATTTTCAGGAAAGTCTAGTACAACTTCCAGAACATATCAGGCTTGCCACTTTCCAAGAATGTGGATATAATTATCTCATCCTTATCAACAGCAGCATTATGCTATGCTTCCTCTGTAAGAGTGAATCAAAATAGAGCAGTACCCACTTTATCCAGTTTCACTTTCTGCAGTTTCAGTTACCCACAGTCAACAAAGGCTCGACAGTATTAAAGAGAAAATTCCAGAAATGAACAATTTACAGTTTTTAAGTTGTATACCAATCTGAGTAGCATGATGAAATCTCACATCATCCCTTTACCAGTGTCTCCACACACTTCTTGCCCATTAGTCACTTAGTAGCCTTCTCAGTGATGACATCACCTGGCCTGGTGTTGAAGTGTTGTATTCAAGTAACCCTTATTTTACTAAATAATGGACCTGAAGCACAAGAATAGTGATGCTGGCCAATTTGGGTATGTCAAAGAGAAGCTGTAAAGTACTTCCTTTAAGTAAAAAGGTGATTATATCATAAGACATTTTGAGAGACCACATTCATATACTTTTTATTAATTTAGTTATAATTATTCTATTTTATTATTAGTTATTGTTGTTAATCTCCTATTGTGCCTAATTTATAAACTTTATTAAAAGTATGTATACATAGGTAAAAATATTGTATATGTAGGATTCAGTACCATTTGCAGTTGCAGGCATCCACTATGGGTCTTGAAATGTATCCCCTGTGGATAAAGGGGGTCTACCGTATATTCAAACATCCCCTCTACTGAAAGTAATTCAGTGTATGCTATTATAAGCAATGCTACAATGAGTACCAATGTACATATCTTTTTTTTTTTTTTTTAAGATTTTATTCATCCATTTTTAGGGAGGGAAGCGGGGGAGGGAGAGAGAGGGAGAGAGGGAGAGAGGGAGAGAGAGAGGGAGGGAGAGAGGGAGGGAGGGAGGGAGAGAGAGAGAGAGAGAGAAAGAAAGAAACATCAATGTGCGGTTGCTGGGGGTTATGGCCTGCAACCCAGGAATGTACCCTGGCTGGGAATCGAACCTGGGACACTTTAGTTCCCAGCCCGCGCTCAATCCACTGAGCTATGCCAGCCAGGGCCCAATGTACATATCTTTATGCATTCATGCCTATACTTCATAAGATGAATTTTCCTTGAAGTTGGGTCTATCATAGTTTTATAATTTTTATGCTATCAAGTGTAACAACCTTTTTCCTCTATGGCTTCTTCCATTGGTGTCATCCTTAGAAATGTCCTCCCTACCCTAAAAGCTAAATATATATACATTCTCATAATTTTTCTAGTGTTTTTATGGTTTTGTTATGTATCTTCAACATACACATTAAGTTATTTTTGTGAATGGTGTGAAATAGGAACCTAACTACATTTTTTTAAGTAGATGAGGTTATCAGTTGTGGAAAAAGTAAACGCACATAGCTGTCATAACTAAGGTAACTAGTCATGAACAGATACAACAGAAGCAACCTGAAATTCCACTTGGGCATATTTGTGGACTCTATTTAGTTCATTAATCTATTTGTTCATTCCTCAACTAGTACAACATAATTAATTTTAATATATGTTTGGAGAAAATTCACACTAGAAAGTAAGCTTCATGAGGACAAAACTCAGACCACCCTTGATGGCTGCCTTCTTCTTCCCAGAAGCTAGACTAGAACATGGCATATGGTAGGTACTTAATGAATCTATGTTGAAAGACAATTAAATACATGAACTTTGGGCATTCCAAAACTCAATTTCTTGACCCTCTGCTTTTCTCCTTGTTACAAAATGGAAACATCAGGTTTCTGGTTGGAAGACTTTTTAGCTAAAACAGGCTTAAAACACTGTTCTTGCTCTTCTGGATTACATAATAAAACATCACTGAAACATTATCCTCCTCACCCAATGTGTGTAAGGGGCCACTATGTTAGATGCAAGGGTCACAAAGATTTTTATACAGGACAGATCCTGGCTAATGTTCTGATTGGGAAGGGAAAGTGTACACACACAAACACGTATATGTAAAATAAATAATTATATAAAATGTTAAGTGCCAAATAGATAATGCAGAAGAATACAGACCATAGAGACTGGGCTTCCCTAAACCAGTTTTCTTATTGATAAAATAAGCAAAATAGAAATTCCTACTTCCTAGAATAATTCAAGATTTAGATGAGAAGGCAGTCACCAAAGATGGTCCTAAAATGTTGCATTACAGTACAATTAAGCCTCAATAATAATGACTTGGAGAGTTTCTATTATATGAGTTTTAAATGCTTTCACGTATTCACTTATTTAATTCTCTCATCTAAGGTGTAATAACTATTATTTTCTCCCCAATTTTAATGAGGAGCATATTTAATTTTAGTTTGCACAAAAAATAAAGTATGAAGTTCAAACCCAAAGATTCTGGGTTTGACTTAACTATCACACAAAACAGTATTAGTACACCTTGAAAGTCAAATTTAGACAAGCAGATAGATTGTGGGAGACACATCCATCTACCTGCCTTGAGCAATAAACTGACAAGTTTGGTTATATTAGTAGTTAAGGGAGCAGAATTTGATTACATAATTAACTTTTTTTGGGGGGGGGGCTTCTCTCTCTTTATTATTAAATTCATGGAGTTTTTGACAGAAAACAAGACAGTCATTTTTCAATTATAAATATTATTACCCTGCTGCCAGAGCACAAGCTCCGGCCGCGATCGTTTCGTAATCTGGTCTGCTTGGCTGTGGGGTTACTGCCTCCACGGATCACTGTGAAAACAACCCAGTTTAATCTAGTTGCAACTGATCCTAAACATCTACAGCTCCGAACTCCGAATCTCCACCGCCTCCCCCACCCCCCACCCCTTCACGCCCTGTCCCTGTAGGTCCTAACAGCGCGGGGAACTTCTGGAACAGAAGGTCAGAAAACAATTGCCTAGGTAACTGCGTCGCCTTCCAGTCAAGTCCAAGGACCAAGCCTCTGAGGCCGCGGGCTCCTTTACCCCTACTTTAGCCTCCACTTTGGCGCTATCAGGCCTTGGGGCCAAGCATCAGGCCTTGTGCCGGAGTCCGCCCTCCCCCGAGCCTCAGTTTCCACACTAAATCTCCACAGAAAAGCTTTGGAGCAGGCCCATTCTCCGGTTAAGAGTTTCTACATTCCGGTCCACTTGACCCAGAGGTCTGGGGTCCCAGCCCCTTGGTACCTTTGGGCCTTCTCCTTCCCCACCTCAGCTCACGCCCGTTACCTCATCCCAAGCGTTCTTCCACCAAAGCACCCTACTCCTACCGCGCACCACAGTTTGCGCGGCGTTCCCGGAGAGGCGTGCGTCGCACCGCGGGTAGGGGCCTGGAGGCGGGATCAGAATCTTGGAGCCAAGGGGCGGGCGTCTTTCACGTAAGCAGCCAATCAACATGCGAGACTCGCCCAATCGGCGCGCGCGTTGAGCGCGGGGCGGAGTCTGGGGTGGTTGCGCCGACGTTTGAGTATGCTATTCTTTCAGGCTGAGGTGGCAGATGGTGGGGATCCCGGTTGGCGAAGACAGAGTCGGAGTCCGAGGAGAATGATGAGTGGACCCTGGCACGTCGACGGTCGCGAGCGGGTTCTCAAGTTAGGCGAGAGTTTTGAGAAGCAGCCGCGCTGCGCCTTTCACACTGTGCGCTGTGAGTGAGGACGACCCCAGGAAAAAGGGGGGAATCTCTGGGTTATGGGGGTTTGGAGGCACATCTCCGAGTTGTGTTCCCACAGACTCCCTTGTTTTGCTGGAGAAAGGGGTGCCCAGAGATCCTCTGCCCTGCCTGGAGTCCTACAGGGGTAGGTAGAAGGAGTCGGAGTCCAGCAGGTGTGGGTAAAACCCGGGGCAGGGGGATTTATGTGAAACCAACAGACAAAGGGAAACTTTGTGAAGGTCTGCAGGAGTGACTGTGGAAACAGACGTGGATGATGTAGAGGTGGAAAGGAAAACAGTAAGGTGACGAATGGAAGGGGGCAAAGGACCGAACTTAGAGGGAAGGGAACACCTTGAGACTGCTGGGGAAATATTCTCTCCTTTCTTGACTTTTTCTTTTTGGCTAATTAGGGTTCTTATTTAGTGTGTTTCTGGGGAGAGATTATGACCCATTCCAATAATCTGCATCTCTTAGATTCCTGATTTCATTCAGTTATCAAATACTGATTATCAAACTGTTGAGGGTGTATTATTAATTTCTTTATTGCAAGGATATTTACTTCCCTATGATTTCTCCTTTTGATTCCCTTTTGGTTTGCCCTCTGAAACTGGTTTTGATAAATTATACATTTTTATGTTGTTGAGGTTGAAAAGGGAGCTCTTTTGCCTTAGTAGTTGGATGGTTATATATATTCCAGGAGGGAAAATATAGCATATTATGATATGATATGTAAAACATTCATTCTTTGCATGATAGCCCCCATAGAATTATAGAGCAGAAAGGAAACTCTGAGATCATTGAATCATAACCTCTTGTTTTTCTGTGCTAAAATTGTAAAGTAGGTATTTTTTTCACTTCCTTTTTCAAGCTCTGCATTTCCTTGTTGTGTAGTGTCTCATCATTCTACCTTTCTCACTTATTCTGTCCCTAGACTGTCCAGAGATCTTTATGGTTTTTACTCTGACTTGTTCCATGCTTCAGTCAGAACATCCAATTAAAACTTAACATTCCCCAAAAGTTTAAGCTTTAGACAATCTAATTATATTAACTCACAGTAAAGATATCAAGAACCAATAGGTTTTTTAACTCTCCAATAATATATTTACATTTTATTAAGGATTTTGCTAAGCAAAATTAACATCTAATTGATGGAATAAATGGGAGATATATTTGCAAACAGAAAGGGGTTTTAAACAATGTCCCTTGATTATTATTCTCCATATTCTGTTGTTCTAAGCTCCCCACAATGAGACATTCACTGCTGGCTGTAGTCTCTTGCCTTGTTCAGTCCCATTTTACAAAAGTATGTTGTAGTTATGTGGTTTCTGTATGCCATAATCTAATAGTTTCACATCTCTCCTTTTCTCTTTTTTGTCAGGTATGCAGTAGTCTTAATTTTTCAAATGACAAAATTTAAGATTATAAAAATCTGCTCAAGAATATATTTTCATATATCTTGGGTATATAGTCTCATTTTAAAGGTGTGAGCCCCATATTAAGTGAATAAAAATAGCTTTTGAAAAACCTTTGCAGGTGCTTCAAAGCTTTTCATTTATAAAGGTTCTCAGAATACTGGAATTTCGTCTTAATCTGAAAATCAGTGGGTTGGCTGGATTGGGAGTAAAAGGGAGAAAACTGTACTTGAACAATAATTAAAATAAAAAAATTTGTACTGCAACAACAATTAAAGTAAAAAATATTAAATAAAAAAAAAGAATGGCTGTCTGGCGTAGCTCAGTGGATTGAGCGTGGGCTGCGAACCAAAGTGTCTCAGGTTCGATTCCCAGTCAGGGTACATGCCTGGGTTGCAGGCCATGACCCCCAGCAACCGCACATTGAAGTTTCTCTCTCTCTCTCTCTCTTCCTCCCTTCCCTCTCTAAAAATAAATAAATAAATAAAATCTTTAAAAAAAGAATTAAAGTTACTTCAATATAAATGTGGAGCCAGTATGCAAATGCAGGTCTGTCTGACTTAGGAGACTGTCTTCTGTTAAAAAAAAATAAATCTGAGAATCAGCTGATCCACCTATAAGAATGAAAATAAACAAAACAACAACCATAATAAACCCAAATGTGTGAATACATTAAAAAGGTTTTCAGCCCTTTGTTTTATTCTTGTTGTTGAAGCAGGCAGAATCTTTCTAGATTTATTTAAATAAAAGCAGTCACTTTTCTTGAGGATAGATTCATTTTGTATATGATCTTCACTCTGTAAGAACTCATAATGAAGGAAGAAAACTATACAATAAGAATTCTGACTTTTTTATTGTATTTTTTTCATTGTCATTTAGTTCTCTTATACCTCCCTTCCCCTTTCAGTCACCACATTGTTGTCTATGTCCCTTGAGTCCTTTTACCTTTTTGCTCAATCCCTCCACCCTCTAACCTCCCCCAACCCCTTAGCTGTCATCCTGCTATGATTCTGTTTCTATTTTGCTTGTTAGTTCACTTTGTTCATTAGATTCCACATATAAGTCAAATCACAAGGTATTTGTCTTTCTCTGACTGGCTTATTTCACTTAGCATGATATTCTCCAGGTCCATCCATACTGTAACAAAGGGTAAAATTTTCTTCTTTTTTATGTCCGAGTAGTATTCCATTGTATAAATGTCCCATAGTTGTTTTATCCATTCATCTACTGATGGACACTTGGGCTGCTTCCATATCTTGGTGATTGTAAATAACACTGCAGTGAACATAGAGGTGCCTATGTACTTTCGAATTAGTGTTTTGGGCTCCTTTGGATATATTCCCAGAAGTGGGATTGCTGGGTCAAAAGGCAGTTCCATTTTTAATCTTTTGAGGTATCTCCATTGTGCAGCCATTGTGGAGATTTGACTTCCATGCAGAGCAGCTGGACCTTATTTGTAAGAAACACTCAAGTTAATGTAGTCTGGGAAGAAGTAATATTCTGTCTTCATGTAAAGCGGTAATTATGCCTGTCCAGCATGCTGAGGCTTTGGAAAAATCTGTATATGAATTCTAGCCTCCACATACATTTTATATTACTCTGGGAATATTCTCCAAACTCTCAACCTCAGTTTTTTAATATGTAAAATGGTAATAATAATATCTAAATGTCAGAATTTTTAAAGGATTAAATAAGATAGCATAAACAACCTAGCACAGTATTTGTTGCATGGTAGAGAATAAATAGTTATTCTATTTATAGTTACAGTTATAGTAATATACTATAGTAATAGTTATAGTATTATAGTAATAGTTATATAACCCTTCATTATTCTTGAAGGGTTATATATTTATGTGTTTATGAGTAGTGCCAGTGAATGTCATTTATTTAGACTTTCAAAAACATCAGGGTTGGCAATAAACTATCAAAAAGATAGTCTGGCATGTGGTAGGGCAGACATATGATGTTCTATAAATGATTACTAAAGGCTTAGCAGATGTTTCACAGGGTAGAAGAGTTTGAGTAACATGTCTCAGCAGAATAAATTTTGGATTTGGGCTAGGACTAGTTTTACAATGTGTGTCCAGATAAAGGAATAAACATTGAAATTTCTAAGTTTGTGAATGGTACCAGTTTTTGCCGTTATGAAATGATGAGCTCATGGGCATTGACTACAGGGAGATTTTCTGAGATGTCAAACAGAGACACTCCAAATAAAGTGTGTGTTAAGCTTTTGTGTCAGAAAATACTAGGAAGTACAGTAATGGAAAGTAGGTTTAAAGTTATATTTATACTTAATATTCTCTGATCAGTGTGACATATTAGAAATGGTGTGGATTTTGGAGTTAGTTGAATTAGGTCAAATCCCAGGAAGTAAATTTATTACAGTAATTTTGAATTCTTTTGTGAAGGTAGTGATGTTATGTGACAGTACAGCTAAAATAGAAATATGATCAACACTGACAGAAAAGTATTAAGTGCAAATTGGGGAGTTATTCTATTCTTTATTCTTTATCCTTTGTGTCATTGTCAGGAAAATAACCAGTTTTTTAACACAATATAAGTAATTGTATTGTAAACCTGAAGAAAATAACATGGATAAAGGAAATCCAGAGAGAATAAATACAGTAAAATTGGTGGTGAGGTTTCCAAACCAACGGTAACTGAAAGAAATAAATTATTTAGTCTGGAATCAGCAATTTACAAGAGAATGCATTTGACATTTGGAAGCATAACCATGAGATTATTCAACAAATTCTAGAATTCTATAACTAAACCCTTTGAAACTCAAAAGTTGTATATTTTTTAAAAACTTGTTTGAAGGTAAATAAAAGACAACATTATTTAAGTAAAAGATAACAAGAGGTGAAATGTGTTAATCCTAATAGTAGAATAATTAGAAATGCAAATAGGTTCAGAATAGTTTTGATAGACTTATTGATTTTAAGTTCATGCTTATATTTAGTACATCTATAGATATTTTGAGTGTATTTCTGTGTTTTTAGTTATCTCAGTTACTATAGGCATTTATGGATAGGGTTTGGGGGCTTGTAAATCACTTGAAATTATATTGTATTTGATATGTATGTTTATGCATTTTTTGTGGAAAGGATCTATAGCTGGTCTAAAGTTTTCATCAGATGCCCATAGGCATTTACGACTTAACACCACCCCCCAAAACACACACATACACAAAAGTTAAGAATTGTACTTAAAGCAAAGAGGCTGTATGAGTGGATAGAGAATGTGGCTTGAGTTCTTGACTTGATCATATACTGGTTTTATTACTGACGAGTGCCCCATTGGCAAAATATGGGTGAGAATATTCAATTCAAATAGATGTTGTAAAGATAAAAAGTAATAACTTATTATAAAGGAAAATAACCAGTTTTTTAACACAAAGTAGGTTCTACTTAGCCTATTGGCAGAATTTTACATTAGAAATACTTTTTTTTCCTCACCTGAAAACATTTTTTTATTGGTTTTAGAGTGAACGAGGAAGGGAGGGCGAGGAGCATTGATTGGTTGCCTCTCATATGCCCCTGGGCCAGTGATCCTGACTGCAACTTAGGTATGGGCCCTAATGAAGTATCAAACCCACAACCTTTCAGTTACTGGATGATGCTCTAACCAGCTGAGCCACACTGGCCAGGGCAGAGATACTGTGTTTCACCCACACAGTTAACTATTTAGAACTATCATGAATGAATTGTAAATACCCCCAAATCAAGAT